CAGCCTGGTCTACAGAGTGAGTTCCAGGACAGCCAGGGCTACACAGAGAAAACCGATGTTGGAAAAACAACAACAACAAAAACACAAAACAGAATCCTAGAGTTCTATGATCCACCATCTCGCATACAAATGCCAGAGCTACCCAAGGACAAAGTTCTGCCTCAGGTCCAGACACTTCCATTCTTCAGGAGTGGAGGTCACCAGGCCCATAAGGGTGCTTCCCTGGCCCTCTGCTCCCAGACTCCCTGTCTGCATCTCTTGAGCCTTGGCAGAGAGTTCTCTGGCTGCAAAGGGGAGATGTGGTTACACTCCCGGGAGGGAGGGGATGTGAGAGAAAGGAGACTTCCTTATTTGGAAGGTCCTGTCCTGGGGCAGGAGGTGGGCAAGGTGACTATCTGAAAGCCCAGAAGGTCCCCCTCCACCTGCCTGGGATTCCCAGGAGACCTAACCTGCAATCATTTGCACTTGCTGTTGTCTTGCTTAAAGAGCTCTCCTCCCATACTCTACCTTAGCCTCCAGGCCACTTCATCATTCTTCAAGTTTCTGAGCAGGTATTTCTGCTCTTGGAAGCCCCCGGGTGAGCTCTTCTGTACTGTTGTGATCTCAGCCCCTTGGGACCTCTCCCAGCTCTGCAGGCACCATGGGAAATGCCTTACTCCGGATGGCTAGATCCTCTGCGTTGGCTGGGAGCCTTAGAGGTTGGGAGCGCTGGTAGATCTGAGTGGAACACAAGTTTGAAACCCAGCTCTGTCTCTGACCTTGGGCAAAGCCCTGAACCGTGTATATCCAAGGTCTTATCTGTAAAATGGGGACAATAACAACTACCTCACCAGGCTGACGTGGGGATTAAATGAGATCGCGCAGCCTGTGGAAATGGCGGCCGTTATTATAGGTTCGTTGTTTGTCACAGAGCTTGATAAATATTTATTGAATTAATGAATACCTCCAGCTTCCCCTCTTCTGCCTCCACTGCACGTCCTTGCTTTAGGAAGGGGAAGTAGGTGCGAACAAGGATTTGGGGCAGAGAGACCCAGGAGAGATCCGGGCTTTCTGACGTCTCTGGACACTAGCTGCTCCAGTGCGTCCTGAGCTTGCCTGGAGGCGGCACCGGCATCCTTTCACCTCTGTGACAACCACTTGTGCTACCATCCTCACCGGCCAGGTGAGGCAGCGCGCAGAGGTGGGGTCCACCCCTGCACTGTGTCCCCCGACGCCGCCACACACACACCCTAGGTGCGTGCTGAATGCAGGGTGGAGGGAGTGTCGAAAGGGTGCGCACGGAATGAATGAGCCAGTGGACGCGTGAATGGAGGTGGATGGAAGCTTGACGTACAAAGCGGGGCTCGAGTTGGGCGACCAGGAGCGCAGACGGGCCGGGGCTCCCTCCCCTCCCTGCCCAGCCTCCCGCCCCGCTCCCCTCCCCACGGCGCGCAGCCCTCCCGAGCCCTCCCGAGCTACCACCGGCGCGGAGCCGGGGCCACGCAGCCACCGAGCAAGCGGACAGCTCAGCCTCGGGAAGGGGCTGCCCCGCCGCGTCCCCAGCCCTGGCCTTCCCCAGCGCCAAGGCAAGGTCCCGCGAGCAAGGTCCAGGTACCAGCAACCGATGATGCTCCGGGCCGAGAGCCAACAGGTGCGGGGATATGGGGGGCCATCAGGACTGGCATGGGGGTTCCAGAGAGGCAGTGGCAGGTGACGGGGCGGGGGAGTCTGGAGTCTCTGGGGGTGACCTGAGTGCTGGAAGGCTGCGTCACCACCTACTCCTCTCACCTCCGGGCGTCTCCCTTGTAACCCTTTAGCGCTCTGGCTGGCCCTTCTGGGAATCCTCCCAGACCCCCTAAGGAGCAGGGAGGACTATCTGGGAAATCAGTAGGCCAGCGTCTCTGCCCCCTTCCAGGGGCTCTCCGGGGACCGTCCACCCTCCTACACCAGTCTAGGGTCGTCCCTACCCAGCTAGGGGAAGGAGGGGTCTGAGGGAGGGAGGAGGGAGCGGCCTGAGCGAGGCCGGATTTATGAATGGAGAGCGGCCTGCGCGCCGGCTCAGCGACCCCTGCCGGCCGTCGGGGAGCATCGCGGCCCCGGTGACTCCGGGAGACTAACAAGGGGGCCTGGAGAATTCCGTTTCTGGGCGGGGGACTATTTCCTTTCTCTCAGGGAGGTGGTCAGTCCCTTCCCACACTCTTCTTCTCGTGTGTGTGTGTGTGTGTGTGTGTGTGTGTGTGTGTGTGTGTGTGTGTGTGTGTGTGTGTACTCGCGCGTGTGTGTACGCGCACTGAGGAGGCTCTGGCAGGTCTGGTGGGCGGAACCTGGATCTTCAGGATCTCCCTGAACCCTTTCCCCAAACCCTAATTAAGGCTTGAGAACTGATGCAAGAGAGAATAATTGCAATTGGGAATAGATTCCTTTCCTAAATCTGTGATGGCTGGAGGACACAGGCAGACCTGGATTGGCTTTGTGTCCTTGAGCAAGGGTCCCAACCTTTCAGCTTCCCATGTCTTCATCCGTGCAGCGGGGCTCACTAATAATGATACCAGACACTGACCGGGAGGCCGGCTTCTGGGTGAGGTAGTCCCTAAGCTTTTGAGCTCAATACTCCTCATCGTGGCCCTGAGAGGTAGGTATCTTTATTACTCCGTTGGATGGGGAAACTGAGGCTGAATGGGGGAGATAAGATGCCTTTTTCCACCATTCCCAACTCACGACTAAGAATAGAGAGGAAAGGTAGGCAAAGTCCCTAATGTCCATGCCTTCCCTTCCTTCCTTCTTTTTTCCCGTTTTCCCTTTCTCCTTCCCTCCTAGTCTTCTCTCCTTCAGGAAGTTTGGCCTGGGACCCCAAAGAATTGGGTGTAAGATCAGAGCCCCCTAAAGGGAGTGAGTGGGCTGAGGGCTTGTGGGAGTTCCTTTTCCTCCACAGAGCCCAGGATGCTCCTCAGCTGAAGCGGCTCCCGAGCTCATGGAACCCTCGGCCACTCCCGGGGCCCAGCCCCGAGTCCCCACGGGCAGCGGGGAGTCCTTTCCCCTTCCTCCAGACTATGAAGATGAGTTCCTCCGCTACCTGTGGCGCGATTATCTCTACCCGAAGCAGTACGAGTGGGTTCTCATCGTGGCCTACGTGGCTGTGTTCCTCATAGCCTTGGTGGGCAACACGCTGGGTAGGTGTCTGTCTTCTGAGGATTAGAGGGAGACCGCGGGGCGGGGGCCTTGCCTTCATCGCCCTTCCTGTTGGTGAGGTGGGGGATGGGGCCTCAGTATCCCAGCAGAGCCTGAATGGGCATGGCTGCTGCTGACTTAACCTCCCCCTGCTGCTGCTGTCTACAGTCTGCCTGGCTGTGTGGAGGAACCACCACATGAGGACCGTCACCAACTACTTCATTGTCAACCTGTCCCTGGCAGATGTGCTGGTGACTGCCATCTGCCTGCCTGCCAGCCTGTTAGTGGACATCACTGAATCGTGGCTCTTCGGCCATGCCTTGTGCAAGGTCATCCCCTACCTACAGGTTAGCTCTCCCACACCCCTCCGGGGCCTCTAACACACCCGACTATCACCTTGATGGGTATCAGTGACCCTAAGTATCACCTTTCAGGTAAGTCACAGTGGCTTAGGACTCTTGCAGGGTCACCCAGACCACCAGACTGGACACTCAGGAACACAGACACAGCCTCAAAGACTCACGTGGGAACCCCTCCCGGTGACAGGTGCAGACTTGGCCATGTGTGCACACACAGTTACCTCCAAGTACATGGGCACATATAGAGAGTAGACGGGAGCCCAGCCCACGGTGACAGTCCCAAATGCGTGTCACAGGGGTTGGTCCTTGAACCCAATGGGGACCAACTGAGAGAGCCAAAGGGAACGGTCTCTCCTCTCCTGTCTAGTCTCCTTCCCCAATACTGGACAGCAGGATGCCAGTGGGATCAGCAGACTGGAGTGAGGCCTGGCCAGAAGCCACTGTGGCCTCTCAGTAGCCCCCCAGTCCTCTTCCTGCACCCCGGGAAACTGGGACACCCTGGGGGCAATGCCTGCTTATGCTACCTGCCACCTCATCTACGTCTCTCAGAACAAGGGCTTTCCCGACTGCCTAGGGAAGGAACGACCTCCAGGGTGACGGAGCTGCTGCCTGGATTTCTCAGTTTTGAGGCTTTCTGTTCAACCGACCCAGTCTCTTGAGCTTAAGTGTGAGGGCATCACGTGTCTCATTTCCTCTTCTGTAACACTGTACCCACCTCATGGGGTTGTAAGGACAGGGAGAGGAGTGCCCGCCACACAGAGTGCCATTGTTCACAGTAGAGTAGTAGTCAGGTCCCCAACTGGACATTCTCCACACATGATTTCATTTATTCTTACCAGAATTTCGCCAGCTAGATGCTATATTCCCATTCTGCAGATAAGGCTCAGAGAGGGTGAGTGACTTGCCCGGAATTCACACAGTCCGAAGTTGTTGGAGTCAGAATTTGCTGCACTGGTAGCTCTGGGCTGTGAAGGGCTCCCCCCCACACACACACCTCTGACACTGCGTCCCCATGGGGCAGGCCGTGTCTGTGTCCGTGGCAGTGCTGACCCTCAGCTTCATCGCCCTGGACCGCTGGTATGCCATCTGCCACCCGCTGTTGTTCAAGAGCACAGCTCGCCGGGCCCGTGGCTCCATTCTGGGCATCTGGGCTGTGTCGCTGGCTGTCATGGTGCCCCAGGCTGCTGTCATGGAGTGCAGCAGTGTGCTGCCCGAGCTAGCCAATCGCACCCGGCTCTTCTCTGTCTGTGACGAACACTGGGCAGGTAATGGCGGGCACCTCGGGGGTGCATACCCCTACGACAGGGCACTCTCAGGGTGGGTATCCCCAGGATAGGTATCGCTTCTGGTGTGAGCATCTGCTAGGGGCCCCTCCGGGATGATACTACTAGACTGGGCAATTCTAGGCTCTCTCCCTGCCATGGTGCCTATGTGAGACTCAGTTGTCCCCAGGTCTTGCTATGGTCCTTGTTGGGACAGGGTGGCATTGCTGAGGCAGACTGCGGCTCCCAGGATAAACCTGACCCTTGCATCTCATGACCCCTACAGACGAGCTCTACCCCAAGATCTACCACAGCTGCTTCTTCATTGTTACCTACCTGGCCCCGCTGGGCCTCATGGCCATGGCTTACTTCCAGATCTTCCGTAAGCTCTGGGGCCGCCAGGTGAGGCTAACTCTGGTGTCGCTGTCTGGGCTACAAAGGGTGCAGCTGTTGTTCTAAGATGGACCCTGACATTAGAACATGTTATCCATACTGTGACTA